ATGGCCCCTTCCTGTTCCAACATGACTGCGCACCAGTGAACAAAGCAAGGTCCATAAAGACATGGATGAGTTTGGGATGAAGGAACTTGAGTGGCCTGCACAGGTTCCTGAACTCAACCCGATAGAACATCTTTGGGATGGATTGGAGTGGAGATTGAAAGCCAGGCCTTCTTGTCTGACATCAGTGCCTGACCTCACAAATGCACTTCTGGAAGAATGGTCAAACATTCCCATAGACACAAACCTTGTGGACAGCCTACCCAGAAGAGTTGAAGCGGTCAGAGCTGCAAAGGGTGGGCCAACTCAATATAGTGTGTATATGTGTATATGTATGTATGTGTGTGTGTGTGTGTGTGTGTGTGTGTGTGTGTATGTGTGTGTATATATATATATATATATATATATATATATATATATATATATATATATATATATATATATATATATATATATAATTTTAACAGATGTGGAGTTTTCTGTCAAAGTAGACCAATGGTCACAAAATTACTCTGTGCATTTTAGGTCAGTGGCTTTATGATATATATATATATATATATATATATATATATATATATATATATATATATATATATAGCAAACTTGAGTCAAGAAAAATTATTTTGCCTACAGCGGCAAGATAAAAAGCAACTAAGTATAAGGCTAGGTTCACACTTGTGTGAGTTGTGCGGCTCACATTTGTCTAGGCACAGCCGCCCATTCATTCATTCATTTGTACTTGCGGGAAACGAGCGGAAAAATTCCCTGAACCTTTTTTTTAAAAATGTGTGTGAAAAACCTTGTGAGCTGCTATACAGATTTATCCAATTAAAAGCTGCTAGTACCAAACACAATCCCATGGATTTTATGTGCTAAAATATATACAATTATAGTGCTGTGCTCATAGTAATCTTCACAAATAACGTAATTCTATTACCCAATATGTAAAAGTGAAATAAATCCAACAATCAATCATAATGAAATCCCTTAAAACATCATATACATGCACATACAGTTGTGTTCAAAATAATAGCAGTCAGACATCACTAACCTGATCAATCACTGTTTTTGGTAGAAATTATATTTCTACATGGCAAATAATTTACTAGCAGGTGTAGTAGTGTAATAGAAATCCAACAGACCCAACAGTCATGACATGCATGCTGCTGAATCTGTGTAATTGAATCACTAATTGAAAGGGGCATGTTCAAAATAATAGCAGTGTGGTGTTCTAATAGTGAGGTCATTCATTCTTTGAAAAACAGGTGGCAATTATTGCCCTTATTTAAGAAAGGAAGGCAGCAAATGTTGTACATGCTGGTTTAAAATGGCAACCAAAACCTGAAAGACGTGGAAGAAAGCGAAAAACTACCCTTCGAATGGATAGAAGAATAGCCAAAATGGCAAGGACTCAGCCAACAATCAGCTCCAGGAAGATCAAAGAAGGTCTAAAGTTACCTGTGAGTACTGTTACAATTAGAAGACGCCTATGTGAAGCCAAGCTATCTGCAAGAAGCCCCCGCAAAGTCCCACTGTTGAAAAAAAGACGTGCTGAAGAGGTTACAATTTGCCAAAGAGCACATTGACTGGCCTAAAGAGAAATGGCGCAACATTTTGTGGACTGATGAAAGTAAGATTGTTCTTTTTGGGTCTAGTGGCTGGAGGCAGTTTGTCAGACGACCCCCAAACACTGAATTCCAGCCACAGTACACTGTGAAGACAGTGAAGCATGGTTGCGCAAGCTTCATGATATGGGGTGTTGGGCCTATTTATCGCATACCAGGGATCATGGATCAGTTTGAATACATCAGAATACTTGAAGAGGTCATGCTGCCTTATGCTGAAGAGGAAATGCCCTTGAAATGGGTGTTCCAACAAGACAACGACCCCAAACACACCAGTAAACGTGTAACATCTTGGTTCCAGACCAACAAGATTGACTTTATGGAGTGGCCAGCCCAATCCCCGGATCCTAATCCAATAGAAAACTTGTGGGGTGACATCAAAAATGCGGTTTTGAGGCAAAACCAAGAAATCGAGAAGAACAGTAGAATGTAATCCAATCATCCTGGGCTGGAATACCTGTTCACAGGTGCCAGAAGTTGGTTGACTCCATGCAACACAGATGTACAGCAGGTCTCAGAAACAGTGCTTATACAACTAAATATTAATTGATTCAAAGGAAAGCAAAATCTTCAAACATTTTTCAGTTTATATAGTGAATGTTTGAGTTTGTAAAGAAGAATACAAACACTGCTATTTTTTTTGAATAGTCTAATATTCACTTTTCTTCAATTTTTTTAAAGGAACAACACAAATTTGATATATTTTTCTTCATGTTTTGATTTGGAATAGAATGTGTAGTGTTCCCAATGCATTTGTGTGTATGGAAATAAAAGCTATTAGAAGGATTCACTTTTTTCAACACACTGCTATTATTTTGAACACAACTGTATATATATCCTTAAAAAATGTCCGCATGATAAAGTCACATATGTCTTCCAGTGCTTCAAATCATATAATTTTTTCATAATCACATTAGTGATAATCGGCAGTAAGTGCTCTTCATTGCGTAAAAATTGTGATTTCCCCCACCAGGTGTGCTCTCACCTGAATACCTCTGATCTTACTAAATGGGCATGATCAGTATGCTTTATTTGTGCCACAGGGCCCCAATGCGTTGCTCCCAGATAAACTTCAATCTCTCCTCTATTATGGTGTTTTAAGTGATTTCATTTTAATTGATTGTTGGATTTATTTCACTTTTATGTATTGGGTAATAACATTACCTTTTTAAAACCGTGCCCTGAACGGTTTTGCGGCACCATGTGATGCGATTTCACACACTTAAAACACATTCTGATGCATGGGGGCACCCCTGCACATCTGCAAAATAGCAGCACATTTTCCCTGCTTGTCATACTGATCACACGCATTTCCCAACCCACATATGTGTGAATCTAGGCTAACATTAATTTGATTAATTTTTTTGGTTTGTTTTGCAGCACAGCATTGGAGGAACATGGATTGCAAAGCCTCTAGAGGAGCCACTCTCGCTGTAGATTATGTCAAAACTTGCTGTAGATTACGTAAAATCTCTGCAGAACCAAAAGATAACAGCTGAAATGTTTGGATATACTGTAAAGCATAGAACATTCTACATCCAGTAACAAAGTTTAGTTTGGTTGATGGCACAATGTCTTGTTAAAATAAAGGAAGATCTTCCCTGAACAAACCTGTGCTTTGTCTGATGCCTGCCTTCTACCCATCATTGTGAACAATTCTTTACCTTTATAACAGGGTTTAAACTGAGTTTATATTCCACATAAAGTTGTGAAAGGTGAAAATATTCAGATTTCCAAAAAGTACAGCTTTTTAAAAAATAGTTTTTATTTTTTTCTTTTTACAGAAATAAATGTAGTGCAATGTAATTCCAAAAAATATAATACTGATGGTGTGTTATTTTATCATGATGCAATTCATGCCATCTATTATCATGCAATAAAACATTTTAATGTAAAAGCCAGTACTACATTAGAGTTAGGTTCTTTTTATTCAGTAAGTTTAGATAAACTCTTTACTACAAAACTACAAACAATACATGTCACTCATTTCTTTAATAAGTGCAAAAAATGGTTTCTACTTGAAAAATGTTGCACTATACCTAACATCGTAAGATTAGACATTTCACACATCCGTACACAGTTCTATACTTCTTCCAAATGATCTCAGTGACAGGACAAAGTTTTAGATGGATAAGCATTAGTATGGAATATTAACCTAAAGACTGTTTCTATTACATCTGTTTTTGAAATGCCCTCTTTAATTTTTTTACATACTTCTCTGCTACTTGTTTAATATTCCAGTTACCTGTATGATAGTTCTGCTCTTATAACTTATTTTGTACAGTTGTTGCTACAGCAGGTTGCAGGGCCCTTCACATCACATGCATTGGGCTGCACTGATCAAACCAGACCCAACACAATGACAAGCTGAGTGCTATTTATATTTTTTAATAGGCCTGGTTCATATAAAGGCACTGCACTGGTGTGCGCTGGGTAAAACTGGAACATGCTTTACTAGCACTTAGCACACTCCAGTGGTGTGGATCCAGCCTCACGGTTCATATGAATCAAGGGTATAGCTATAGCCACAGGTTAAATTGCTTTGAGGTTAAGTAGTACAAGGTTGGGGGTGTATATCCTATCTAGTAGAACTTCCACAATGGCTCGCTGATGCAATGTGCAATATTGTGTCTTTGTATTACATCCATGTGATGGTGATACTAATGTCACTGTTTCTTGTCCCAAAGGGGTTGATTTACTAAAACTAGAGTTTGTAAAATCTGGAACAGCTCTGCATAGAAACCATTCAGCTTCCAGGTTTTTCCAAGCTTTGAACAAGCTGAAGTTAGAATTTGAGTGGCTACCATGCACAGCTGCACCACATTTTGCACTAACTCCGTTTTAGTAAATCAACCCCACATTAGGTCAAAAATGTTGCTATTACATTCAATAAAAGTTTATAATTTAGTTGCAACTACTTTTTTTTTTTTTTTTTATCAAGAAGAACTCAACTGGGTAAATTTCTTAATTCGGGTACATTTCCAAATCCGTTGTAGCTCTTGCAGCAATGAATCATGCCCAAGAGAGTGGCATATACACAAGTTAGTTCTGAGAGCTGACTTACTGTTACCGTCTCAAGAGAAATGTAGATAACAAAGGACAAAATCATAAGATATTGTACATAAGCCATGTACCACGAATATATATTATAAGAAAATATAATTGCTATAAAATATGGATCCAGACTGTGTTACATTCAGAAATCTTCAAGGATATTCATGAGAATCAACTACCATATACAATCTATTCAGTATAGATATTTAAAGACTAAAGTGTCTATAACTTTTTTATTATGGAAAAAGGACATCTCAAATATATGTCTTAGGAAAACACATTGTATATGTTATCTTGCTGCTTTTGTTTCATCATATCATTATTATATATCTTTTCCACATTCAGGACACAGAATATCATCTCTTTCTGTAAGGAAGCCACGGCCCACCAAGAGATGGCACACTTCTTACAGTTAAAGCAATCGCTGTGCCACTGACGCTCCTCAAAGGATATGTATTTTGTTCCTCCGAGCCCTGAAAGATGAAAAGATAACAGAAAAAGCTGATTAAGACACATATACTGTTAAGCCTATTTTAACCACTTCAGTACTGGGCACTTTCACCCCCTTCCTGCCCAGGTCAATTGTCAGCTTTCAGAGCTGTCGCACTTTGAATGACAATTGCGTGGTCATGCAACACTGTACCCATATTACATTTTTTTTTCTTTTGCTGGTATGTAATCACCACTGGGGTTTTTATTTTTTGCTAAATAAATGGGAAAAAAACTGAATGTTTTTTTTTTAAAAAACCTCACATTTTTCTTTGTTTTTGTTATAAAATTTTGCAAATAAACAATCTTTCTCAATAAATTTAGGCCAAAATGTATTCTGCTACATTTATTTGGTGAAAATAACCCAAATCAGAGTTTATTATTAGGTAAAGTATGTAAGAAAGTTAAAGAGTCCACAAACTATATTATATATACCTGAAAATTGAAAAATCTAATTTCTTGAGCCTCAAAAATGCCAGGACAGTACAAATATCCCCTAAATGACCTTTGGAAAGTGGACAGTCTGAAGTATTTAGTAAGTGGCATGGTGAGTATTTTAAAGTTGTAATTTGTCGAAATTTTTGGGAAAATTAAGAAATTACTTTTTTTTTTTTTACATATTGTCACCAGTGCAGGACAGAGTCATCATATAACTGGTGTGTCGGTGACTGGTGACAATATATTAAAGTATTTATAACAATTCTTTTAAAATGTTTTACATTTTTTTTTCTTAAATGTTTTACTCTTTTTAATTTTTTTTTCAATACTGTTAACATAGCAATACAGTGTTACCTTAGTAACACAGTACTACTCTGGGGATGTGATAAGGATTTTTTTTTTTTTTTTAAAACACTATGATTGCTTATACCAGTGATTTTCAGTGTTATAAGCAACCATTTTTACTGAATGGAATTGCTTCATTCAGTTTTTACTATTGTGGTTAGCTGTGATTGGCCACAGCTATTCACATGGTAGAGATGAGTAATGATTGACCCTGTCCCTACCATGTGATCACTGTGACCAATCACAGAGCTCAACACAATGGATGGCATGAATGAATCCCATTCATTGTGTACAATTGTTATGTGATCTGCTGTGATGGTCACAGTGATTACATGGAACCAGCAGCAGACCAGTACACTAAACGGTCATCCACTGTGTCTGGTGGGTGGCAAATCACGCCGCAGTGCAACCCGTGGGGCACACACAATGCGCATTTTGGGGGGGGACATCATATGATCCCCACCCGGAACAAGTGTCCAGCTCTATGGGCCGGAAGGGAACTGGTTAAAGTTTAAATCTGGGCAAAATGTTCTCATTTAAGATTATAACCTCTGTCAGGTTTTTATTGGTGTCTGTGTCCTACTAGTGTCTTGGTGTCCAACCTGTGGCCTAAAGGCAGCATGTTACCCCTTGTTACGTACTGTGAGGCCCATGAGCCTTAGCAGCCTCTAGTGAATGTATGGCTTACCCGGGTGCTTAATAGGGGACAGTGAATGAGTATGCTTTAACCTGGGTTATAAATGCTTGGTTTGTTTTAAATGCACTTTCTTACCTTTTTGTGCCATTTATTCTCTTTACTCTTTTTGTGTATTTTTTTTTTTTTTTTGCTGACCTTTTATAAGGGATCTAGATGAATGGATATGATGTTGCAAATTTTAAGGGACTGTAATTGAGGTGATCTCTAGAAGTCTCTTGTAATGTGTACCCGGTCTCTGACAGTCTTCTGCACTCTCTAACTACTGTGGAATGCTGACCATATTCTGTAGCATTGGATACACTGAATGTTATGTGCAGCCCCAAGTGAGTGGCTACACTTAGGGTTCAAGTAGGTTGATCAACACTGTTTTTGGTGAGATTCATCCTCTCTGTTTTTCCTGGTGACTATTTATCGCTGGGGCAGAAAGTGAGAAGAAATCCAAAATTTAACAGTTTCTTTATCAACATAGAACCATTAAAAACTGTTATCTGAAATTAACATTTCATTTTCAAATACTTAAAGCGGTATTAAACCCAGAACCAAACATTTCTTAAATTGCCGCTTACTAATTCTTTTCTTTTTTTAGGCATTTCTCCTTCGTTCAACCTTCCTTGAACAGACCAAGCTGTCCAGCAAAGGTTGCAGGTAGAGGGTTTGAAACAAACCTTTCACCACTGACAGGGGTTCTTGCAATGGTCAGCTTTCATTCATTTATGTAAAACCTTTATCCCTCCACAAAAAAAAAAAACAGTTGCTGTAACTGCTTTTAAAGTGTTAACTGAAGTTCAGCTTCAATTTGTTAGTCAAATCCAGGGGCGGACTGACCATTGGGGAACTCGGGCACTGCCCGAGGTCAGTAGGGGGCCCCATGAGATGTCAATGGTACCTTTCATGGGCTTTTTTGGGTATGGTTTGAGTGTGGGCAAGGACACAGGGGCCCCATGATCCCTTATTGCCCAGGGGCCCCATGATTTGTCAGTCCGCCCCTGGTCAAGTCATCTAAATCTGCTAGTCTAAAGATGGGTAAACTGTAGAAAAAATTTCAAATGAAACCGATCATCTTAAGAACATTAATTTGATATTCTAATTGTTAGTGGGGAGAAATTGACCATACTAATGAGAACATTTAAAGGAACAGAACGAAAACATTTTCCTGAACTAACATTTCTTTATTAGTGTATGTGGTTTTCGTTTTGAGAAATTACATTCATTTCAAAATCAAAATATTAAAAGAAAGTGAAATTTCTAACAACAATCAAATATTTTGAAAATTTTCATTTGAAAATCTACAAGTTTATACCCAGCTTAAAACTATCCTCTCCCAAGAATGACAATCCTGCTGTCCAAAGGTGTCTGCTTTACACCTCCATCCAGAATGCAGACACCCCAAGACAGGAAGTGTGTTACTGGCAGGATCACCAGTTGAAATAAAGGAAAAGAAAGCCTAAAAATAGAAAAATAGAAAACTAATGCAACCAACACATTTAAGGATTGGTAAACTGCAATAATTAGCATTTTTGTTTTTGACCTTAATACTGCTTTATATCAAAATTAACATAGTTTTCTCGCTAATCCAGAAAAAATGCCATTGTTAACAAACAATAAAGGTAAAACAACATTTTGGATTTACCCCAACTTTTATTCTTTGTTATATTCTTGATTATGACAATTAGAGTAAATCTCTAAAGGAGACACAATGAAAAAGCATGGCAATAAAATCTGACAGCTTTTCTAAACCCTCATCACTCTATCCAAATCTATAAAAAATGCATTTAGTTTTACTTTAATGAGTATTTTGTTTTATATTTCCTAATGAAAATAAAATGAATCAATCTGAACTTCATTGAATACTTTAAAGTAATATATAATAATATAAACAATAAATAAATATAGTAAATACCACTTATGGGGGTAGTACAAGCAGCACATTTCTTGGCATACAAGTTGCAGAAGCAGTTCAGGCAATAGGCAAATTCATCTCTAGAAGTAAACCGCTGTCCCGACAGAGGTTTCTTGCATCCTGTACAAAGGAAGCATTCTTTATGCCAGGGCTGATCTCGGTAGGTGACACCTCCAGTGGTGATGGCCTTTAAGAGAAATAATAACTTTCACCAAAAAGTTTATTACTTTACTTTATTTATTCATTTTAATTTTGCAAGCATAATTTATTGAAGTTATAGATAGAGTCAAAAGAATTTTGTTTCCCTGTTTAAGGACAGTTCCTCTTTTGGACATAAATCATCTGTCCTTTTAAATATGGTGTAAAGAGTTGTACACATGAATGTGCTATCAACATTGTTCTTATTGCTCTCAACTTTATGTTTAAAGAGATACTGTCGCCTTGCCCATGCAGGACAGTGTCTCTGTAAAGGGCTCCCTTCATTTACCCCTTATAATCACCAGCTCTCCACTACAGCACATTGCTCCCCCAAAGTTAGCGAGAATAACTGTCACTTCCAGGTATGGGAGACCATGTGAATTTCTCCTTTGTGACAGTGTCAATGCTTATTACCAAACTGCAAGAATAAAGCAGCTGCATAACCATTAATACATTTTAAATGTAAGCAGTGAAAGTACCTGAATATTTAAAAATATTTATATTTTTTTTCTTCATATAATAAAAAATAAAAAAAAACCCAATGGTTATTAAATACCACCAACACAAAGCTATGTATTCCAAAAATAACAAGATATTGAAGTACAGTGTTGCATGACAGACTATTTGTCAGTCAAGGTATCACAACACTGGGGAAAAGGTAGCCTAGTAATAAAGGGGTAATACAGGCTGGCACTCAAGTGGTTAATGGGCTGTTTATTTTCTCTTTTTATCTGAGGATGGAGTTCTTCTGCTTATATGTCCTGCACTACTCAAACTCAGGTTACACTTTTTAGATCTGAAAAGGGCTGCATATACCTATTTTACTGATAATATTTGAAAACAGTAAGTATATTAGAGGTGAATAAGAAATACACAAGAATTTAGTTAGAAATCTTTTTGCTCTCTTTTTTTTTATCAAACCTTGTAAGGAGTTACCTTTTTAGAACATCCATAGAAAAAATTATATAGAAAGTGTAATCAATGGAATATTTTGCAAGTCGTTATTGGCCTCTTTGTATTACGGCTGAATTGCCCTTCCTTCCTATCAGTTGAAGAGTGGATTTCCATTAACAAAGTGGTTATTTTCTGTCTTCTTGGCGCTTCTCTCATAGTAACATCCAAAAATCCCTTTATAAACCGCAACCGGGCCCCTAGAGAATCTCTGTATTTTATGGTTGTACCAAAAATATCTGACTTCAGAACCAGCTGGAGAAATGCAAGGTTCAGAAATCATAGATCTCATTTTAGATAAGCCCAGGACCATTGACAAGTATGGCAATCCTATTTATTAAAGCTGAACCCAAAGAAACCCAAGAAAACAAAGGACCCTTACCATTTCAGGTTGTGGGTGGGCACTTGATGTTCTCCTTTACAATGTAGGACTGCTGGTCCTCGATTGTATGTGATGACAACAGAGTGCCTACGATCGTCAGCAGCAAAGAGAAGTGGCTGTAGGGAACCAATTGTGCAGCTGGAAGGAAGCCTTTGAGGGTGTGGAATAAAGTAAGTTGATTTGCTCCCCCTAGACCAGGGGTGGGCAACCTGTGGCTCTTCAGCTGTTGCAGGACTACAAGTACCATCATGCCTTTGCAAGTCAGAGCTGTAACTGTCGGTTTGCAATGTCTCATGGGAAATGTAGTTCCACGACAGCTGGAGAGCTGCAGGTTGCCCACCCCTGCCCTAGACAAAAGGATAATTTAACTCTTGTAATGTGGGAAGTGCCCCACCCCAAGGTTTTTCCCTAGTGTTCAGCTTTAAATACAGACTAGTATGGCTGTTTCTTTCCCCAGAAGTGCTCTCTCCTGAACCTGATACCACCCCTTCTGTAACCTGGCACTGCTCCTTCCCCAAAAAGCAGCCAAGATTTAGTAGACACAGTCAATGTTCTGCCTACATATTGACATAATTTAGGCAGAGTTCAGGCGGCACGAGTCCTGCTGCTGCATTGCCAGCATAGGGAGTGAGCTCCACCTTTCTTCTAGTAACGATAGAACAAAGGAATGGATAGATGATGTCATGCTGGTGATCAGAGTTTGAGAAGTAGAGTCCCATTGCTGGACTTCTCTAACTCTGCTCACTGGCATGATGACCTAATCCACTTATTCACTACTGGATGAGAGGCTGAGCTTGCTCCCCGTGCAATCCAGTGGCAAGACTCTTGGTTCAAATTAGTAGGACACAGCAGAATCATCTTGGGGTCCCAAGACCCTAGGATTTTTTTCAAAATGTGGGGCAGTTCTGCACAATTCGGGACCGTTAAGAGCTATTGTGGCAGTGTTATTTTACCCCCCCTTACCACAATATTGGTAAGGGACAACGTTATTTAACCCCACAGCACTGGTGGTCAGCGGTCAGGGTCACGCACTGTTCACTCTTTCCCTCCTTATTGCACCAGGACCAGGGGCGGACTGACAACTCATGGGGCTCCCGGGCAATAGGGGATCACGGGGCCCCTGTGTCCTTGCCCAAACTCAAAAAAGCCTATGAAAAAGGTACCAGGGGCATCTCATGGGGCCCCCTACTGACCCCGGGCCCTCGGGCAGTGCCCACGTTTCCAAATGGTCTGTCCGCCCCTGACCAGGACTATGTGTATCACTTCAACAGTGAAAATCATGGGACTGGATTGATAGAAATACAAAACATTTCGTAGGTAAATCTGCTCCCTTATATGAATATCATCTGTGTATTTAGCTGCTGAGTTCAGCTTTAGGCTACTACAGACTTGATTCCACTTTGTAATCAGAATAAAAGAAGTAAGGATTTCTAGTCATCATGTTTTCTACAAAAGGCAGAAGATATAGAGTTCCTGCCTGCTGAAAAGTTGTAAGCTATTCCTGCATATCTTTGACAAATATTTTGCCTTCTCTTGAACTATAACTAATGAGGAAAGGTTTAAACAGTGTGCAGACTGCACTTTTTTATGGTATGGGTTACAGAAAAAATGTTTTCTTCATTATTGTCCATAATTCTTATCTTCAGTGTATTGCTCAATATGCTACGTAGTCCAAGGCAAGGGAGGTTGATGTCAGCAAAGTGCTTTACATATTTTAAAGCACGCAATGTTGTTTGGAATCTTTAACAGATGGCTTGGTTGTCACTTACTTTTTTGCACTGGATGCAATGCATTGCAAACTGCTTTTCATAGCATGGCACACAAAAGTTTTGGTTCTCCTTAGGGATAAAGCTTTTTGTTCCTATTGGCTGCTGACAGCGGGTACAGACAAAGCAGGTCTCATGCCAGCTATTTCCTTTATATTCCATCTTACGTGTCCCTGTTTGGAAAACCATAGATTGTAAAGGTTAGTCATCATCACTTGACCGCACTTACAAGTATATTGTTCTTGTAATAGACACAAGTATGGGGCATATAAACTACATTGTCAAAAGTATTGGGACACCCCTCCAAATCATTGGATTCAGGTGTTCCAATCACCTCCATGGCCACAGGTGTATAAAATCAAGCACCTAGGCAAGCAGACTGCTTCTACAAACATTTGTAAAATAATAGGTTGCTCTCAGGAGCTCAGTGAATTCAAGCGTGGTACCATGATAGGTTGCCACCTGTGCAATAAGTCCATCCGTGAAATTTCCTCGCTACTTAATATTCCACAGTCAAAGCGTGGGATGCAGTGGTGTAAAGCATGCCGCCACTGGACTCTAGAGCAGTGGAGATGTGTTCTCTGGAGTAACGAATCACGCTTCTCTGTCTGGCAATCCGATGGACTTGTCTTGGTTTGGCCAGGAGAACGGTATTTGCCTGACTGCATTGTGCCAAGTGTAAAGTTTGGTGAAGGGGGGATTATGGTGTGGGGTTGGACTTGACCCCTTAGTTCCAGTGAAGGGAACTCTTACGGCATCAGCATACCAAGACATTTTGGACAATTTCATGCTCCCAACTTTGTGAGAACAGTTTGGGGATGACCCCTTCCTGTTCCAACATGACTGCTCACCAGTGTACAAAGCAAGGTCCATAAGGACATGGATGAGCGAGTTTGGGGTGGAGGAAGTTGACTGGCCTGCACAGAGTCCTGACTTCAACTCAATAGAACACCTTTGGGATAGATAGAGCGGAGACTGCGAGCCAGGCCTTCTCATCTGACATCAGTGCCTTACCTCACAAATGCACTTCTGGAAGAAAGGTCAAACATTCTCATAGACACACTCCTAAACCTTCTGGACAGCCTTCCCAGAAGAATTGAAGCTGTTAGAGCTGCAAAGGGTGGGCCCACTCAATATTGAACCCTACAGACTAAGAATGGGATGCCATTAAAGTTCATGTGCGTGTCAGAAAATCTTTATTTTCCTTTCAGAATCAACATTTCTATGGGACACTATACTGCAAAATACTCCCACAAATGTGGGCCATTGATTGCAAACAGGATTTGTTAATTTGCACACACAAAAAAGTATTTTTCATAACAAATTAACTCAAGACCATGTTGCAAATATGCATACACCCCAATGAAAGTCTTAGAAGCAAAGCTAAATTTTAGATAACAAAATCATAATTAACAAGAATTCAACTACAGGTGAGTCTAATTATTCATTAAACAGGTGTCCAGCAGACAGATAATTATAAAAGGGCATTACTTAACAAAGAAAACACCTTCCTATTTCATGCTGTCAGCAATGGCACCACATGGAAGAGAAATGTCTGAGAAAGAGAAAATAATTTATTTACACAAGAAAGGTGAAGGCTACAAGAAGATCAGCAAAGCTTTACTTATCAGTCAGAAAACTGTAGCAAAAGTTATACAAAAATTTAACAAAGATGGAACTGCAACCATCTCACAGGCCATCCATTGAGGTTAACACCTTGACAGGAGCATCTTCTGATGAGAAAGGTTGAAGAAAATCGCCATGCAAGTTCACTGCAGTTAGCTAAAAAAGTAGAAAGCTAAACTAGGGTGATTGTTTCCCGTGACACAATGAGGCATACGCTGCAGGGAATGCATGCATGGGTGTCGTCCATGAAGGAAGCCTCTCCTAAAGCCCATGCATAAAAAATTTGCCAAGGGCCATGCTGAAAAAGACGACTACTGGGATTCAGTACTCTGGAGTGTTGAGTCCAAGATAAATGTTTTTGGAACTGATGGCTTCAAAACTGTATGGAGTAGCAAAGGTGAGGAGTACAAATAAAAATGCATGGTGCCTACAGTGAGAAATGGTGGTGGCAGTGTCTTTTTGTGGGGCTGCATGAGTGCTGCTGGTATCAGGGAGCTGCATTTCATTGATGGGATCATGAATTCACAGAGGTACTGCTCTATTTTGAAAGAGAAGATGCTACCATCACTCAGTGCCCTTAGTCGTTGTGCACATTTCCAACATGACAATGATCCAAAACACATATCTAAGGCCAATGTTGCATTTCTGAAGAAGATCAGGGTGAAAGTAATTCAGGGACCAAGTATGTCTCCTTTAGGAACCCAATCGAACACCTATGAGGAATTCTGAAGAGACAAGTTGAGCATCACTCTCCATCCAGCATCCAGGGTCTAAAAGAGATCATTCTTTAAGAATGGAAAAAGGTAGATGTTGCAATATGTTGCCAACTTGTTCATTCCATGCCTAGAAGACTTGATGCTGTCCTTACAAACCATGGGGGTCATACAAAATACTGGATGTAGTAGTTTTTGTTGTGGGGGGTATTCATTTTTGCATCAACTAATCTGAGTAAAACTGAAGATTTTGTAATCTAAGTTATATTATTAACCTTACTTTCAGGTAATGAGCTACACAAATGTTCTATAAAACTTTTGTAAAAATGTTGAAAATTGTTCATTGAAATATAGATTAAAATCTTACTTTTCAAAAGGGGTGTACTCATTTATGCCCGAGAACTGTATATGTGGTTATATAGTTATACAGACAACGACAGGCATTGACAGCAACTAAGGCATAATCTGCTATATAAATGTAGTTATCGTCATTGAATCTGACTAGGAGATGTGGTTCATCTGGTCACAACCTGTTAAATACATTCCACCAATGATTTTGGCAGTAGGCTGTTATATTCCTCTATGAAGATACTGGTGCCCTGGATGCTCTAAACCCTAAGGATTTTATGCTTGGCATCGCAAGTTCCATATCTTTAACAAACCTATTGCCCTACATGAGTTTCTGTACACAGTCCATCCAGTGGTTGCCAGGCTTCAGCATTAGCTTATCCCAAAACTCCTGCATAACAATAATAATACTGCAATTCTTTTCATGAGCATTGTCAAGGATTCAACCATTTTCAGAAGATCTGGAAGAGATGAGTAATCTCTCTTGTTACCTGCAACCCTACTCCATTCCCATTAGTCCTTTTACTGCTATCTGAATCGATGCTTGGTGGCTTATATTCTTTCTAGGTGACCACTGAGAAATCGCTTGATGGTGACATCTGTTCCAGTGGCAACTTTTATAGATGCAAATTTGCCCCCATTTTTGGGAGTTTTCCTTTCACATCCTGCTGTGCTCCAGAAGAAGAAGTGAGGGCAAATCTTTCAAATAGGTAAGCAGACATCAATGAAAAACACTTAAGCCTTTCCCTACTGTATCCAAAATTTAAAAAAAGTTTGAGCTGTAGATTCACTATGCCACAAGAAAATGTTCTATTACGTGGTATAATCACTAGGATAGAAAACTCTCCAAGTTATGAAGTCAAATTATACAGAAATTAGATGGATATTGATATACCTTCTCAAGCAATACAGTTTCATTCTTAGTATTGTTACTAAACTCTAAGCCTTTTCTGTCTAGTCTAATGTGCTATTTAAATCCAAGTCATTGTATAAATGTAAAAACACAGTACTGGTGGTCAGTGCAAATTAGAAACACTTGAGACTGCACATTTTGGAAATTCCACATGCCTTGCCTTTTGCCTTTTTTCTACCTCAAGGGGAATAGTTTCAAATAAGCCTAATGGATATCTATACAAACTGCACAGGATGTAACTACTCTAAAATGAATTTGGTAACTGTAAGCGGATTTGATTTTGGAAACGTGGTTGCTTGAAGAATGATTTATTACTTTGCTATCATGCTAAATATGTAACTGACATTTCTTCTTTTATTTGGTGAATCAGCTTTTATTACCCTGGACATTTACAAAACTGTTTTCATTTAAAAGCACAGACCTTGCTTAAAGCATACCATTATAATAACTTAGGTTCTATGCTCATAATTAAACTTTACTCAGGTGATTTTGCCACCCCCTTTGTGTATATATACAGTTGTGTTCGGACATCACTAACCTGATCAATCACTGTTTTTGGTAGAAATGATATTTCTACATGGCAAATAATTTACTAGCAGGTGTAGTAGAGTAATAGAAATCCAACAGACCCAACGGGTCATGACATGCATGCTGCTGATTCTGTGTAATTGAATCACTAATTGAAAGGGGCATGTTCAAAATAATAGCAGTGTGGAGTTCTATTAGTGAGGTCATTCATTCTTTGAAAAACAGGTGGCAATTATTGCCCTTATTTAAGGAAGGAAGGCAGCAAATGTTGTACGTGCTGGTTACAGTGCATTTCTCTCTGAAATTCTGAGGAAAATGGGTCGTTCCAGACATTGTTAAGAAGAACAGCGTACCTTGATTAAAAAGTTGATTGGAGAGGGGAAAACATTTAAAGAAGTGCAGAAAATGATAGGCTGCTCAGCTAAAATGATCGCAAATGCTTTAAAATGGCAACCAAAACCTGAAAGAAAGCGAAAAACTACCGTTCGAATGAATAGAATAATAGCCAAAATGGCAAGGACTCAGCCAACAATCAGCTCCAGGAAGATCAAAGAAGGTCTAAAGTTACCTGTGAGTACTGTTACAATTAGAAGACTCCTGTGTGAAGCCAAGCTATCTGCAAGAAGCCCCCGCAAAGTCCCACTGTTGAAAAAAAGACGTGCTGAAGAGGTTACAATTTGCCAAAGAGCACATCGACTGGCCTAAAGAGAAATGGCGCAAACATTTTGTGGACTGATGAAAGTAAGATTGTTCTTTTTGGGTCTAGTGGTCGGAGACAGTTTGTCAAACGACCCCCAAACACTGAATTCAAGCCACAGTACACTGTGAAGACAGTGAAGCATGGTTGCGCAAGCATCATGATATGGGGATGTTTCTCATACTACGGTGTTGGGCCTATTTATCGCATATCAGGGATCATGGATCAGTTTGAATACATCGGAATACTTGAAGAGGTCATGCTGCCTTATGCTGAAGAGGAAATGCCCTTGAAATGGGTGTTCCAATATACATATATATATATATATATATATATATATATATACACATACATATATATATATATATACACACATATATATATATACATATATATATATATATATATATATATATATATATATATATATATATATATATATATGGAGGCATACAGCTTTTATGAATACAAAGGGAAATGGGTGTACACATTTCCAACCTAGAGCTTGATTTTTTTTTTTTTTTAAGTAGAAGAAAGTGATGACTTTTTCCTGTTATGTTCATGTTAATTTTAAAATGTACATAGTTAAACTATGGATTTTTGTTTTTTGGGTGTTTTCACCTGTGCTCAGACAGAAACTGATGGTCATCAAAGTCAGCAGATGTTGGATCTTTACACCCCTATAAGCGTAAATGCAGCCTGACCTAGGCATTCAAATAGGTTGGGCACATAATGAAGAACATTGTAAAACTGGCCTAGACGTGATATGATTGGTACTTGATCCAGCTGTTTTCACTTGGATCGAGCAAAAATCATATGTGTATGGAAGCAACAGACATAGGCTGACCAAGTAGCCTTGGGTAAAATATCAATTTAACAGGTTTGAAACCCTTATCAATTTGTTTTTTTTTCCTTTCAAGATATGCTGGAGCCAGTGCTATATACAGTACATGGTCAACACCCTCCTTTATACATTCCTTCACCATTCTGTAAGACATGCATGCTCCTACACACTCAAGAGCCTAAACATGCATGCTTGTGCCAAAACAGGTTATAAGATGATGGTTGGATCTTGCCTGCATATCTTACCGTACAGTTAAGTTTATGGCCACCATTATTCACTTGTCACACTATATGTATGCACTTGTACCCTTTGTACCATTTCCTCATCTACTAACCTGGCATGATTGTTTTCTTGCACTCATTGCATTTTGAAGAATATTCATTAGAATAACATTCTGTACAAATTAGGTGTTCATCTTTTGCTGCAAATGGTTTGTCCACCAAAGAGCGCTTGCACTGGAAACAATGAAAGCAGCCTTCGTGCCAGTGACGGTCCTTGTATGAAAGATCCTGAAACAACAAATATTCATGATGAGCATGATGTCCACTTGGTAAGATGCCTTAAAATATATATTTGATGTATAACCTTTATTTTTTCCCAAATTCTGCTGGTCTGTTCTGGGTGCCTATGGGTGAATGCAAGAGAGGCAAGCCCTTCATATTATTATGCTTACCCACAGTTTTGGGAAGTTTTGAATTTCAAGCTCCTCTTTATATGAAAGATCTTCTGTTTTCCACTGGATAAATAATTTTTGCGTACATTTTTTTCAGTCCAAAATATATCAGATCTGAGGAAGTCCTAGACACCTCCTTAGCTTTGAAGAATCATATGACACAGCCAAGGACAAGACCTTGGAGGACTTCCTTCTCTCTGCTGGGCACCATTGCATCTGAGGTCTGTGAACACATTTCAGAAGGGGAAGGATGGAGATATTTGTGCTGGGATGGGGAGAGGGATTAGCTTTGGGGAAATCTGAGATGAGTGGGAAGGATTTGCACTGGTAAAAGGGGAGAGGAATTTAGCTCACGAAGGGAATTTGTACTGGGGAAGGGTGCTGAGGGAGGGACACTCTATGCGCTACCTTCACTTTAATTCACGTTCCAGTTCAATAATTTTTAGTAGGTTTTTTTAAAAAAGTAGTGGAAATGGTATATTTCACTTTAACCCACATTCACACTAGTGTAGCATGACACCATTTTACACTTGTTCACGAAATGCAACAAAAAATGCATATTGTGCTTGTGTTGTCATTTTTTGTTACTGCCAAGCAAGAATCACAATTCTGCATGCATAAGAACGTATGGCAAACACAGTATTAAAAAATGTGTGAAGCTCAAAGCTTGAAAAAGCACTTGAGCTTTATTTCTACTTTTGTCACCTGTAGGGCATCCCAATGAAATGAATGGTTGCCCTATGTGTGAAAAGCGCACATATGCACAATGCTTGATATCTTGCTACAGTAGTGTGAATGGGGGCTAAACACCATTGTATTCTCCTGACCCCTGCATTCTGTACTTTTAATACTCCTGACCTCCTGCACTCTGTGAATTATGTACTCCTGACCCCTGAACACTGTGTGTGAAGTACTTCTGATTCCTGCATTCTGTGCATTATGTACTTCTGCACCTGAACTCTGTGGGTTACATATTCCTATCCCCTTCACCATGTGGGTTATGTACTCCTGTCCCCTGCACTCTGTGCTATAAGTACTCCAGACCTCTACGCTGTAGTGCTTTACATACTTCTGAATCTCTGCATTCTGTGCTTTACACATTCCAGACTCCAGTGCTCTGTGTGTAACATACTCCTGATTCCTACACTCTGTGCATTAAGCACTCCTGGCTATTGTGCACTGTGTATCACACTCTCCTGACCCATCAACTCTGTGTGCTACATACTGCTGAACTCTGTGCATTATGTAGTCCTGACCCCTGCACTCTGTGGGTTACATATACTTTACCCTTATGCACTGGGCATTACACACCCCTGACCCCTGCACACTGTACATTACATACTCCTTACCTCTGTGGTCTGTGCCTTACATTTTTCAGACCCTTGAACTTTACACACTCCTGACCCCTGAAGTTTCTGAGTTGCTTACTCTTGACCACTGCATTCTGTGCATTAGATGCTCTTGATCCCTGCACTTTGTGCTCTTGATCCATGTCTTTGTACATTATATTCTCCCAATGCTGTGCTCTGTGCTTTACATTCTTCTGTACATTATTACTCATTCCTGTCCACTGAATTTTGTGCATTAAATATTCCTGCCCTATGCACACTGTGCTTTAAACACTCCAGATGCCTGCACTCTGTGCATTATGTACTCTAGGCCCCTGCACTGTGTGCATTATGTACTTCAGACCCCTGTGCTCTGTGTATTATGTACTCCTGATCCCTGTGCTCTGTGCATCACAATCACCTGACCCGCTAAATTCTGTGCATTGCATACTACTGACTGTTGAACTCTGTATGCTACATATTGCTGAACTCTGTGCATTACATACCCCTGACCCCTGCATTCTGTGCTGTACATACTCCTGACCCCTGCACTCTGTGCCTTACGCACTCCTGATCCTTGCTCTAGGTGCGTTATGTACTGCTTTCTCCTGTACACTGTGCATTACACTCTCCTTTTCCCTTAACTCTGTGTGTCACATACTCCTGACCCATGAACTTTATGTGCTTCCTAATCCTGCCCTAAAAAACATGTGAAGCTCGAAGCTCAAACCTCAAAAGGGTGCTTGAGCTTAATTTCCTCTTTTGAAATACAGTCAGGTCCATAAATATTGGGACATCGACACAATTCTAACATTTTTGGCTCTATACACCACCACAATGGATTTGAAATGAAACGAACAAGATGTGCTTTAACTGCAGACTGTCAGCTTTAATTTGAGGGTATTTACATCCAAATCAGGTGCACGGTGTAGGAATTACAACAGTTTGCATATGTGCCTCCCACTTGTTAAGGGACCAAAAGTAATGAGACAATTGACTTCTCAGCTGTTCCATGGCCAGGTGTGTGTTATTCCCTCATTATCCCAATTACAATGAGCCGATACAAGGTCCAGAGTTCATTTCAAGTGTGCTTTTTGCATTTGGAATCTGTTGCTGTCAACTCTCAAGATGAGATCCAAAGAGCTGTCACTATCAGTGAAGCAAGCCATCATTAGGCTGAAAAAACAAAACAAACCCATCAGAGAGATAGCAAAAACATTAGGCGTGGCCAAAACAACTGTTTGGAACATTCTTAAAAAGAAGGAACGCACCGGTGAGCTCTGCAACACCAAAAGACCCGGAAGACCACGGAAAAACACTGTGGTGGGTGACCGAAGAATTCTTTCCCTGGTGAAGAAAACACCCTTCACAACAGTTGGCCAGATCAAGAACACTCTCCAGGAGGTAGGTGTATGTGTGTCAAAGTCAACAATCAAGAGAAGACTTCACCAGAGTGAATACAGAGGGTTCACCACAAGATGTAAATCATTGGTAAGCCTCAAAAACGGGAAGGCCAGATTAGAGTTTGCCAAACGACATCTAAAAAAGCCTTCACAGTTCTGGAACAACATCCTATGGACAGATGAGACCAAGATCAACTTGTACCAGAGTGATGGGAAGAGAAGAGTATGGAGAAGGAAAGGAACTGCTCATGATATCCTAAGCATACCACCTCGTCAACGAAGCATGGTGGTGGTAGTGTCATGGCGTGGGCATGTATGGCTGTATATTTATTGATGATGTGACTGCTGAAAAAAGCAGCAGGATGAATTCTAAAGTGTTTCGGGCAATATTATCTGCTCATAATCAGTCAAATGCTTCAGAACTCATTGGACGCCGCTTCACAGTGCAGATGGACAATGACCCAAAGCATACTGCAAAAGCAACCAAAGAGTTTTTTAAGGGAAAGAAGTGGAATGTTATGCAATGGCCAAGTCAATCACCTGACCTGAATCCGATTGAGCATGCATTTCACTTGCTGAAGACAAAACTGAAGGGAAAATGCCCCAAGAACAAGCAGGAACTGAAGACAGTTGCAGTAGAGGCCTGGCAGAGCATCACCAGGGATGAAACCCAGCGTCTGGTGATGTCTATTCGTTCCAGACTTCAGGCTGTAATTGACTGCAAAGGATTTGCAACCAAGTATTAAAAAGTGAAAGTTTGATTTATGATTATCATTCTGCCCCATTACTTTTGGTCCCTTAACAAGTGGGAGGCACATATGCAAACTGTTGTAATTCCTACACCGTTCACCTGATTTGGATGTAAATACCCTCAAATTAAAGCTGACAGTCTGCAGTTAAAGCACTTCTTGTTCGTTTCATTTCAAATCTATGGTGGTGGTTTATAGAGCCAAAAATGTTAGAATTGTGTCGATGTTCCAATATTTATGGACCTGACTGTATATGTGGCTCACTGAAATGAATGGCTGCTCTACACATGCATAAAGCAGGCATATGTACATAGTGTAAATGGGAGCTTACCACCACACTCTGTGCATTGTATTCTGAAGCCTGCACCATTCTACTTTAAGCCCCTCCCAATGTGATTCTGTGACCACATATTATTCACTGCAGCACTCTATGCACATCTATATCATTATTCTTCTTGAAGTGCCTTTACATTCCTTGCATCACCCCTGGCAGCTCTCTCTAGTTTTTCCCATACCGTTTATCCATTTCCCCATGGCCTAGCTGCAGTGTTTCAGGAGACATCGTTAATAACGTACTCATCAGTAGATGGTGGCTATCAAATGCTACTTGACTTTTTTTTTTGCTATAGCAAGACCAAGGCTTTAATGAGGCAGATCAGCAAATCCCAGCCCTATCCAATGAATCCTACCTACAGTCTAAACACATACTCCCAATGCAGTTTTACGATACACGCCCCTGATCATTTAGGAGGACATAACTGTTCCATTGCCCGGTAGTCTAAGGGAACCATTGCATACAGAAGTAAAATAAGAGTGATTACATGGAACTAAAATTATTTATTTCAGGTACTTATATAGCGACGTCAATTTGCGCAGCACTTTACATATATATTGTATATTCACATCAGTCCCTAGCCCTCAAGGGGTGTACAATCTAAGGTCCCTAACTCACATTCATTCATACACATGCTAGGGCCAATTTAGACAGGATCCAATTCACTTACCCATGCATGTCTTTGGAGTGTGGGAGGAAACTGGAGCACCCAGAGGAAACCCACGCAGGCACAGGGAGAACATGCAAACTCCAGGCAGGTGGTGCTGTGGTTGGGATTCGAACCAACGACCCTAGTACTGCCAGGCAGAAGTGCTAACCATTTAGCCACTCTGCTGCCCCATTGACTGACAACAGGTTCCCATTCAGGGTCCCTTTGAAAATCCTTATTTTTTATGCTATTTATTACACTTACATAAGGTAAGTGCAAAATAGCAACAAGCCCCCCTGACAACAACGGGGAGAATGTAGACACCGGCACTGTAAAGCCCTTCTTATTCTGAAATAAAAAGAAGTATGATGAA